TTATCTACTTGCACCCGGGAGTGCTTTCGAACTGCTAGGTTGGCAGGCGCTGGGACCGAACAACGGGAGCGCACCCCGCCACGGGGATTCGAACCGCCGACCTTTCGATCGGCAAGCCCCAGGCACTGAGGCCCTTACCCACAGCGCCACCCGCGTCCCATCCCCATGTTACACCCCCCCCAAACTACATCACTCATACATCACTAAAGGGGAGGTTTGGTGGCAGGAATCTGAGCATCCTGGACCCTGCCCCATGGTTCCCCTTGCCCTCCACCAAACACCCATCAAGTGGAACAAAAGAGATATTTACATTTCCCTGTTTCCCAGCCAAGTTCATCCCACCCTTTTGTCTTCATCTGAGTTTGTTCTTTCTGGAATGGCTACCTGTCTGGCACTCAGGTATCAGGAGGCCAGGGATTATCCCTCAGGCAGAGGGGCTGCTGAGTAGCTGAGCTCACCTGTCTAGATGAATTTCTGAAGTTTTCCCAGTGAGCCAGTACAGAGATCCATCAATCAGTGAATTCTTACATTTGGTATTGTGCAGCAAAGGCCCTTTGAATAGATAGGAAGAAACTCTGATGAAGTGTTTTGTGGGGACAAATCACAAAAGTCACAAAAGGGATTGTGCTGGTTTTCGTAGTGGGCTGCATGTGTGTGATATCTGCTGGAGGGGCAAACACCCCCAACCTATACATAAATTCCTGCAACAAAATTCCCAGTGCAGAGTTCCAGTTCAGCCATTGGGATCTAGCAAGCTCAGTTTTCTCTGGCAGCAGCATCTCTCCAGGGATACAGGCGGAGGGTTGAACCCAGGACACCTGTCTGCCTGCCACACCTTGCAGGTGAGACCAGGTGTGTCTGTGTGGATGGCACCCTGGTTTCTCTCTCTCTTCGAATCATAGTCGGAAGAGACCCACAAGGGTCATCTAGCCAAATGCAATGCAGTTATTATAATTATAATTTTATTATTAATACCCCACCCATCTGACTGGGTTGCCCCAGCCCCCTGGCCAACTTCCAGCAATATATAAAAACACAGGAAAACCTTAAACCTTAAAAAGCTTCCCTTATACAGGGTTGCCTTCAGATGTAATATTATTATTATTTACGCCATTATACCATTATTTAAATAACTTACACACGCTGTCAAATTGAGGGTGAGAAATTACTGGGATGTTTTGCATAATAAATACGCTTCCCCAAAAGACCTGACTATTTGCAGGAAGGAAAGTGAAAGGAAAACGGATAACACTTTCTTTGACACAACATTCCCTAGTTTCCCCCATGACCTGGGGCTCGAACCCATGACCTTGAGATGAGCAGTCTCACGCTCTACCGACTGAGCTATTTGAAATAGTTGGAAGGGACCCCCAAAGGTCATCCAGGCCAACCCCCCTGCAATGCAGGGATATTTTTGCGGAACGCAGTGCTCGAACCCATGGCCTTAGACTCAGAGGCCCACGCTCTCCCCACTGAGCTCTCCCAGGGTTCAGACAAGCAGTTGGCAGGGAAGCAAACCGTTCTGCTGGGACGGAAAGCATGGCAATCGTTTCTGAAAGGCTGGCACCCTTTGGGTCTCAGCTCCTGGGGCAGAAGTCATATACGGACCCCGGACTGATTTCACCCAGGGATAATTCAGCTGCAATTCCTGCCTAGCAGCAGTGGGTTGGGCTAGATGACCGTGGGGGTTCCCTTCTGACTCCGCAATGCTAGGATTCCAGTGCTATTTTAACCATGGAATTCTGTATACCCATTTTACAGCTTCTCTTCTCTTTCAATCTCCACCTGCTCTGATCACCGCTCAGGCATTTTGAAATGAAATGATGATCCAAACTGTCCCCCAAATTAAAGGTGCAATTCCGCCTGCAAGGCAGCCCTGGGCTCCGTTTGGGGCCAAGGGCCCCCCTCCGTGTCCAAAGAGGGGCAGCCAGGCACAAGGGGCCCCCATCTCTTCCTGCCGGGTTTGCACCCGTCTCCCCAGAGGCGCCGCTCTGGGCTGCCACCGCTTCCGCTGAGACGCAGCAGCTTCGTTTGCCGATGCTGCGTTTGCATTTTTTAAATATGAAAAGGGGAAATCTTTGAGCCTGCTCTGTTTTCCCCTCCTGGCTTGAGTAGGGCTGGCGGAACTGTAGCCTCTGGGCACTGCTCTTAACTGCCTGCAATCGATGCAGAATAAATCCAGGAAACTGGCAAGGCTGGGATCCGCTGGCCCCAAGCGGAGAGAGAAAAATTCTCCTCCCTCTCTCCTGACCCTCGTTTTGACCTGCGGAACTCCCTGCCACAAGAGGCGGCCAACAACCTGAATGGGCTTTGAAAGAGGCCGAGACAGAAACACAAAAGGGCTTGGCTTCCGAATCCCTATTGCTGGGAACCGCGGGAGGACTGAGCGGCTCTTGGGTTCGAATCCTGCTTGCCATTTCCCGTAACGGGCATCCGCTTGGCCCTTGCGGGAACAGGACGCCGGGCTCGATCCTGCAGGCTTTGCTCTGTGCAAGCCCCAAAGCAGGGCCTACTCAGGTGTGCAATTGTAGGGATGAGACAAATCTCCCTGCCTGGTACAGTATTGCATTATTACAGCCACACAAGAGAGATGCAAAATTCAGCTGTTTCTCTCCCTCCACTTCCAATTTTCTTCCTGTTGCACCAGCTCCGTTTGGCCACCAGAGGAAGCAGCCCTTGTCTCCCTTCGCCTGCCCATGTATGGAGAAGAGAGAGTCTCCTGGAGGCCACAAGAGCCTCTCTAGCCCGCCATCCGGTTCTCAACGTGGCCGACCAAAAGCCGGCTCTGAGTGCGAGAGCAGCTCTCCCCGCCTTGGTCTCTGGCAATTGGGACCCAGAAGCATTGCTGCCTCCGACTGGGGAGGGCAGAAAGCAGCCCTCAAAAGCCCTCTTCTCCGCCAGGGATCGTGCCCCATCCTTTTTGAAAGCCAGTGGCAGGGAGTTCTGCAGTTTAATACTGTGCTGTGCGAAAAGGGGCTTCTTTGACCTGTCCTGAATCCTGCAACGTTCAGCTTCTCACGTAAAATCATAGAATTTTAGAGTAGGCCCAACCTGGCCCAACCCCTTGCAAGGCAGGATTATTCATTCACTGCCAACCTCGCAGGGTCGAAAGCACACCAGTGCAAGCAGACAAAGAGGTACCACTTTGGCAGGAAGGTAAATGGCATTTCCACGTGCTCTGGCACTCATCACGGTGTCCCGTTGCACCAGAAGCAGTTTAGTCCTGCTGCCACGTGACCCGGAAAGCTGTCTGTGGACAAATGCCGGCTTCCTCGGCCTGAAAGTGAGATGAGCGTCGCAACCCAACAATAATAATAATAATAATAATAATTAATAACTGGACTGGACTTAACCGTCCAGGGGTCTTTTACCTTTATCTTTTTTACCTATTCATTTACTGCACTGCCTGGAGAGCTCAGTCGTTAGAGCATGAGACTCTTAAATCTCCAGGGTCATGGGTTCGAGTGTCTGGTAGGGCAAAAGATTCCTGCATTCTAGGGGGTTGGACTGGATGGCCTCAGGGTCCCTTCCAACTCTGAAGTTCTACCACTGACATCGCCACGGTTCTCATTCAGTCCTCACAACCACCCTGTGAGGCAAGCTAGGCAGAGACTGGTGCCCAAGGTCTCACGCTTCAGGGACGAGTGTGGAGGAAGATTCGTACCCAGGCCTCTTGCATGCGCTAGCAGACACCCTGAAGCGCTGGGCCACATGCTCCTTCCTCTGAAGGCGTGCAGAGTGCATCCCCAGGAGGCAAACAGGTGGGATATAAATGCAGCAGATTAAGAGAAGGAATGGGTAAGCACGTGCGCTGCGGCCCCTCTTCCTGACCCCCCCCTGCAACCACACACACACACTGTTGCAATGCCCATGCATGCTCCGAGTGCGATTCCCGCACACTTCCCTCCTCTCCCCTGTTGCAAGAACCGGCTAGCTTGCAATTCTAGCCCAAGCAAACGGGGTCCTGGTTTTTTTAAAAATTTTAATAAATTGAGAGCCAGCTTCCACAAAAAGGCAGGTTTTCCTGGTGAAATGGAGGCAGAGAAACTGAGGGAAGAGGGCCTGGTTGGGTTGGAATCTTGTAGAGGTGGAAAAGGGACCCCAGGCGGTCATCTAGCCCAACCCTCTGCAATGCAGGGATCTCTTTGCCCAAATGTTGGGTTCGAACCCACAACCCTGTGATTCAGAGTCTCTTGCTCTACCGACTGACCTGTCCCGCTTCATCCCCCGGAGCGTGGCCCATGGCTTGCCTTGGGAGCACCCACCCAAGGGTGCCTGGGTGCCAGGGGCTTGGGAGATTTGCTGCTGAGCTCCAGCCCAACTTGGGGGCCACCGTAAAGCAGACCGTGCTGGCCTAGGCGGGCCTGATCCACCATCAAAGCTCCCGTTAGGATCCCAGCTGGCAAAGCAGAGGGAATCTGGGTCTGCAAGGAATTATGGGGAAGGGGTTAGCGCAACCGAGCGATGCAGGGGGCGCACGGAGGGCTGCAGAAAAGGGGCGCTGCTGGGGGGTCACGAAAACCAGCCAGGCTCCCGCGCAGCAGCAGAGGATCGCGGGGCCCAGTCTGCGCAGCGCCCGCTGCAAAACTTCCCTTGCAAAATGCAACGCGGGCAGAGCATCCCCCGAATGTCGCCGCCGTCGCCGGACGGGGCGCCCCCTGGCTCGCAAGGAGGGAGCTGCACTTGGGGGCGGAGGGAGAGGCGGGCGTGCGCGCGCGTGTGTGTCGTGTGCGCGCCCGGCCTCCCCGCCCCGCTCCCCGCCCTGGGCCGGCCCCTTCCTCCGCGCCCGGCGCCCTCGCCGCCTTGTGCTCGCTCGCCGCTCCGGAGCAGCGCCAGATCCGCTCGCGCCGCCGCCCGCGCCACATCCGGATCGCGCGTCCCCTTCTTCCCCCGGGGTCCCCTGCAAACAGAAGCAAGCCGCCCGCCCCGTCCAGGCTTTTGCATCCGGGCCCAGCAGCAGCAGCCTCGCCTCCTCCTCCTCCTCCGTGCGCGCCTGCATCCCTCCGCATCGCCCTCCGCGGCCATGAGCGGCTGGAACAGCTACATCGACAACCTGATGGCGGACGACACCTGCCAGGACGCGGCCATCGTGGGCTACAAGGACGTGCCGTCCGTCTGGGCCGCCGCCCCGGGGAAGACCTTCGCCAACATCACGGTGCGCCCCGGGGTTGCGGGGAGCCAGGGGGGCGTGGGGGGGGGACCCGGCCTGGCCGCCTAGGGATTTGCACCGGGGGCGGGAAAGAGGAGGAAGGGAAGGGGTCCCCTTCTTCGAAGGCGCGCCCCGGGGCGCTTGGGTTCCTCCGGTTCCTTCCTCCCGGGCGAAGTTGCGGGGGGCGCAAGGGGGCCTCGACAAAGCCGCTGCAACGAGGCGCTACCTGGGCGACCCTCCCCCGACGGGAGGGGGGGGAGAGAGGGAGGGAGGGGCTCTTCCTGCTCCCCCTCCCCCCGTGCGCCTTTGTGCAAAGCGCCTCCGCCACTTCCTCTTGCAAAGTCAGCCTGCAGGCCCGGGAAAGGGGGGGGCGTGGGGGAGGGGAGAGGCGCGCGCTGCTCGGCCCCCGCAATCGCGGGCACCCCCCTCTTCTTCCATCTCCCCCCCCCCTTTGCATCTTGCCCTCTCCCCGTTTTTTTTGGGTGGTGGGGTGGGGAGAAGCGCGCCAGGCGGCCGCGGTTCCTGCTTAGGCGACCGCCACCGCGCCCTGCCCGCGCCCAGCCCGGGAGAGGAAATGACTCAAAAGCCGGGGGGGGAGGGGGGAGGAGAAGGAGGCAGGCCGCCCCTCCCCCCTCGGGGGGGAGGCAGCTAGCGGGGGAGGGGGCAACACCCCCAAAAAGCCACCCTCCGAGCGGGTACCCCTAAACCTCTCCGTGCGTAATGGGATCTCTCATCCAAGGCCCAGATTTGCGGGGTGGGGTGGGGGGGCGGGATTTCACTCCCGGCTCCCTCGGCGTCGTGGAAACTTCGGCAGGAGCGGGGCCAACTTTTCCACTCCCCCCCCCCGCCAAGTTTGCACGGCTTCCAAGGCGCTTCCCGATCCCCGCGGGCCACACCCAGGCGCCCGGGGGCCACGGCCGCCACGTGCCTTTGTGCGCGGGGCGGAGGCTGAGCTCCGGCACCTCTCTTGTCCTTCTCTCTCTCTGTGTCCCCCCCCCAAACCACTCCGCGATTGCGCAAGGGCGTCTAGCCGGGGCTGACTCGTGGCCTGACCCGCCGCGCCCCACCCCGGCCCCCCCACTTTGGCAAAGGGGTCTGGAGATCCCGGCCAAAATCCTCTCCCGCTTTCCTTCTTCGAATCCGCCACAAAAGCGGCTCCCTAGTCCCGGCAAAAAAAAGACTTTCTGAGCTGAGTCTTTGGGGGGGGGCACGACCTCCCTCTGTACCGTAGGGCTGGCTTCTTCAAAACCCCCCCCCCGGATGTGGGGCAAGCGCGCCTCCCTCTCTCTTCTTTGCAAAACAGGATACAGGTGGGGCTTTTGCGCCGCAAGAAGCGTCTTGGAGAGACTTTCAAGAGCGCAAGCAAACATGCCCCCCCCACTTCTCTTCTCTCCCCCCCCCCCTGCGCAAAGGCCGGGCGGAAAAGAAGTTGCAAAGTTCTAGAAACTCTTTTTCTCTTCCCCCCCCTTCTCTGGGGCGCTTCCGGCGCGCAGAGTGGAGCCCGGAGGGAACTTTTGCAAAATAAAAACCCAAACCGCCCCGTCGGGGCATCCATCGCCTTGCCGGGTTTTTGGGTGCCCCCCCCTCTCCTTTCTTCTTATTCCCTCTCCCCCCCCCCCAAAGTGCCACGTCTCCAGGCCTGGATTCCTTTCAGCTGCGGCTAATCTCCGAGCAATCCCGGCTCTGGGCCTCTGGCAGGAATCTTGGGCGGGGGGGGGGGACGCGAGAGATTTTGCTGCGAGGCCTGGGTACATTTTTTTGCATTTTCGTTGGAACTTTCCTGCGGGGAGAGAGCGGGGTGTGCGTGTCTCCCCACCCTCCAAAAAATGTGGGGACCTGTGCAGATAATAAAAATACCCCCCCCCAAAAAAAATTCCAGATTAATTCCTCAGTTCCTGCTTTCCAGATCCTGAGCAAAGGATCCCTTTTTCTCTCCCCCCCCCAGCCCTGGAAGAATCTGGAGGGATGCTTTGTTGGAGCTCCTTCTGGGGTGGGGCCCAAAACAGCTGGCCTGGGGGCGCCCCCTGCAAAGGATCCACTGCTTTCCCTTGTGGATCCAGTGATCTACCTTTAGACTGCATCTTAATGTTGTATTTTAATCTTATTTTTTAAGTTGTATTTAAACTTGTTTTTATTATTGGTTGTTAGCTGCCTCAAGCCAGGTCTTGGCTGGGGAGGGCCAAATTTATTATTATTATTATTATTATTATTATTATTTTAGGATCCACTGTTCTCCCTGTGGAGGAGAGGATCAGAGGACTTTAAAATCTCTCTCTCCCCCCCCCCCACTTCAGGGATTCAGGGGATCTGTGCCCCCTTTGTTCAGTGCTGGGGGGGGGACAAGAATCCGCAATATCCCTGGAGCCCCAGCATTGCCCCATGATGGGGAGGGGAAGAAGGGGTGCCCCACAGCGCTCCTAACAGCCCCCCAAATAAGGCCTTGACTTCAAACTTCCCAATTCCCCACCTTAGCGGAAGTGCAACTTGTGTGTGTGTGCATGGGGGGGGGGTGTTTCTGACTTCTTCCGCAGTTTCTCACTTTTCTCCAAATTTGGCAATTGAGCTTCATCCCTCCTGGTTTTTTGGGGGGAGGGTGTTATGTGAGTTGGGGGGCACAGATGGGGCCTGCCTTTTGCAAAAGTGGCCACTTGGGCTAGCCTAAACCCTCCCAACCCAGAGATCCCCCCTTAACCGACTGAATCCTGCGGGGGTCTGCTGGAGGGACCCAATTTCTCCCCTCTGGGGGGAACTGGAAGGGTGCACTGCCTGCCTGGGCTGGCAGCAGCAGCCCAGGCCTCTGCCATTCCGTCCTGTCCCCTCCTCCTCTGTTCCTCGGAGGGGAGTGCGGCGCAATGGGCGGAGGCGGCCAGGTCTGCCTCCCCCCCACCCCCCACTGCCTCTTCCATTCTTCCATCCACTCAGGGAGGCTATTCTGTGTGTTCCCGCAGTTAATGTGCAACCTGGGAACCGGAGTCGCTGCCAGCCCAGCCCTAAACTGGCATTGGTTGGGGGGGGGATAAAATAAAGCTTGCTGTGTGCATTCAGCCCTGCTCCTCCTCCTCCTGGGGGATTGGGGGCAGAGGAGAGAGCATTTGGGGGGGGTAAAGACCTGCATCGCAGCGGGTTGGGCTGGATGACCCCTGGGGATCCCTTTTTCCGACACGACAATGCTGAGCTGTAAACTTCTTGCTGTGTGTATAGGAAGGTCTCCTCTCTCTGCCCCCCCCTCTAAGCAGGGGCATCACCCGTTGGAGGGCAGCTGGAGGGGGGTGGCACTAAGCCCAGAGAGAGTATTTGCAGGGCAGGGTCCACTTCAGGACCCCCCCCAAAAAAACCCCTGACTTCCTACATATCTTGGGGGCAGCGGGTTGGGCTGGATGACCTGGGGGGGTCCCAAAATTCCAAATGGAAACATATGTCTTTTGAGCAGCTAAAAATGAGGCAGGGGGTCTGCAGTTGTCCCCCCCCCAAAAGACCCAGCCATCCCTTGAGCCATGGGGTGTGCTGACTACATTCCCTTCCTTGTAGGGGGGTGGAACTGCACCCCTAGATAATGGGGGGCTTCCAGAGGCCATGGCAACAAGGGGGGACCTTAGTCCTGGGTGGAGAACGACCTCCCCATACGTAAGCACGCTTTGGGTGGGAAATTGACCCACAAACTGGACTTAGCCGTGTCCAAGTTGGGGGGGGGAGAGCCTGGAAGAGACTTCCTCTTCTTGCCCCCCCCCCCTGCAAAGAACCAACACCCCTGGATTTCCCCTGTTTTCCTTTGGGTCTTAATGGCCAGGCCAGGAGACAGAGGGCGGTTTGTTTGCAGGGGCAACAGGTGCTGGGGCTCCATTCCAGCTTCCAGGGGGGCAGGAGAGAAGGGGCTTAATTTGGGGGGGTCCCTCTGTCCCTCTGCCCTCCATCCATTCCCCCTTCGCCCCACAAGGAACAGGTTGCTGCCTGCAACTGTCTTTTTGGGTGTCCTCAGACGCAAAGGTCAGCCCCATGGCTTGCGCTGCCCCTTGCCCCCCCCAAAAAGATCTGCCCCCCCTGCATTGGAGGGGGTTGGGCTAGATGACTCAAGGGGGCCCCTTCCGGCTCTGCTGCTCTATGCCCCCCCTGAACCCCCATCTTCATTCTCTGGTTTGGCACTGAAGCCCAGTGGTCCCCAAACTTTTTGGGGGGCCAGAAAACTCACACCTAGCACCCCCTATTTTTCACAAAAGCACCGCTTAGATCAGAGGCTTGCATTTTTTCCCAAAGGCAACAATTTAATTGCTCAGTTAAATAAAAAATAAGCTATTTAGTTTAATTGAGGAATAATAAAAGTTTTACTATTTTTTATATTTTATTTATTTTTTTCAAAGATTACATCCGGTTGTACGTTCTCTTGTTCTTTACAGTACATTCAGAATTATACCATGTATATATGTCTAATTGCGAATGTATATTTCCCTTATTTCTACCGTTGTGATCTCACAACACAGCTTCTTCGATTTTTTTTATTACTTTTAAATTCTGTTGTACATATTATTCCCTTATTCCCCATAAATCTTTACTTTTTGCATTGACTGAAGTTCATGAATAATTTTACTATTTCTTGTCTCCCCCCCCCCTTCCCCAAAAAATCTGGCTGGCTTTCCCAGCCCACCAAACTGACGAACTTGATCCAAACTTTGCTAGAATCCTAGTCTTGAAAGGGGACCCCGAAGGGTCATCCATCCCAACCCCCTGCGAGGCCAGAATTGCAGCTCAAAAATAAACCCTGAGAATCATGGAATCGTAGGGTTGGGGTTCCAGCGGTCATCCAGCCCAACCCGCTGCGAGGCCGGAATCTTTGGGTCTCGAACCCAGGACTCTGAGGCACCTCCAATCTCAATGCCCCTCCAAAGATGCTAAAGCCATTTGGGAACCTGTGGTTTAGTTTTGGGGGGGGGCGTGACTCAGTACTGTGGCTTTGGGGTTCCTTGAGATCCTCAGTGGGTCTTGTTTTGGGGGTGTCATGCTGTGGATCCTCACTTTCCCCCCTCTTCTTTTTATTTCGCCCCCCCCGGCAGCCGGCGGAAGTGAACATTCTGGTGGGCAAGGACCGGAGCAACCTGTTTGTCAACGGCCTGACTCTGGGCGGGCAGAAGTGCTCTGTCATCCGGGACAGCCTGCACACGGACGGCGAATGCACCATGGACCTCAGGACCAAAAGCACTGGCGGGGCCCCCACCTTCAACATCACAGCCGCCATGACGGCCAAGAGTGAGTTAACTGGGGGGGCACCACCCACCTCTCCCCTCCCCAAATCTCCTTGCAGCTGTCCATCTCTTGCAGAAGGGACGGCTTGCATTCTTTCCCCCAACAGCTGTGGGGGTTTTTTTTGGGGGGGTCCCTCTGCTTCAAATGGGGGGGGTGGACAGCTGTTGCTTAATCCAGCCCCTGGCCGGGCAGAGAAGGCGGCCTCTGTCTTGCCGCGGCAGCTGCAAGGGGTCGTAAATCTTGCTTAATGGGAGCTTAGCTGGAAGGATGGAGGGATGGGACCCCTAGGGGTCATCCAGCCCAACCCGCTGCAAGGCAGTGGAGAAGAGTCTGGCATCTGAGGTTGGGGCGCATTGTAGGGTTGGCAGGGACCTCCATGGGTCATCCAGTTGAAGGCAATGGCCATCGGTCAGGGATGGTGTAGCATTGCAGGGGGTTGGGATGGATGACCTCCGGGATCCCGGCCCAAGTCGAATTTGGCATCCTTCGCCTGGCACGGCTTCTGGCTAGTGGGGTGTCGGCTGCTCAACTTGAAGGTGGCCCCCGGTTCTGGCTAGAGGAGCCCTGCCTTGGCCCCCCCCTCCCAAAAAAACACACCCTGCAGTTGCACCTTTTAAGAGTCTCCTGGATCCGGCCCATCCTAAGAATTGAGATAGACTTCCTTGGGACCTGGAGGTTCTGTAGAAGCCCCCAGAATTATTAATTCAGTCCTTGTAGCCACAGCCGCTCTGGGCAGCTTTGCGCAAAATCTAAAAGCCTCGCTTTCCTCTGTGAATTTTCCCTGCCCGATCTGTCTGCGCTTCCTGCCTCTTGTGGCAGGGAGTTCCGCAGTGGCTCACCTTTGTCCCGCAATTGCAGAGGGGTTTCCCACTTTCCAAGGCTTCTCCCTAAATTCCCCTGATTTTGCAGGACCCATAAAAAAGTCCAGGGCTGCTTATTACGTCTTTATCTCTGTCGGAAGCTGCCCAGAATGGCATTAGTACCCTTACTGTGGTTGGACTATAACTCCCATCGTCCCTGACTGCTGGTCCTGCTCGCTAGGGATAATAGGACTTGCAGTCCCACCCCAGCTGAGGGACCCCCATGGAAAGCAAGCAGTGCAAATTTGGTGCTTCTCAAGTTTGGTCCCCAGCCGTGGTTGTACTACAACTCCCATCACCCCTGTCCACCGACCCTCCTTGCTGTGGACGATGGGACTTGTGGTCCGACACCCGCAGGGAAACCCCACCATTGACGGCGGCACCGATTCGGCGCTTCTCGATCTCTCCCCCCACTGCCTCTTAGACTACATCTCCCATCATCCCCCTAGCATGGGAGTTGTAGTCCTCGCAGAGGACGATGGGAGTTGTAGTCCGACCCCAGCTGGGAACACACACCCCCCCCCACGGAAGGCAAAACCTTTCCAGCGCCCCTCAGCCTTGCTGCCGGGGGACTCCATCTGCCACGACCATCCCGCTCGCTGTGGATGATGGGTTTCGTAGTCCCTCTGCCCCAGCTGGAGAAAACTGCGATTGGCGGACTTTTGAGCTGGAGAAACGCAGCGCCTGGGTGCAAATGGAGACCCCCCTTCTCCTCGGGTGGTTGGGGGTCTTGATTTCCTTTTTCCGCTGACCCCCCCCTCTTGTTTCTCCCCCCAGCGATAGTTCTGGTTATGGGCAAGGAAGGCGTCCACGGAGGCTGCGTCAACAAGAAGTGCTTTGAGATGGCCAACCACTTGCGGAGGTCGCAATATTGAGGCCCCCCCCTTGCCCCCGCCTGCGGTACTACTGAGGGACCGGGGGGGGAGACGATGCCCACGGGGGCTGCCACCGCCCGGGACCCCCAGCCCAGCCCCGGCCTGACCAGCGTGGGACACCCCCACCCCCCCGGCGCCGGACCGCCACTCTCCTCCTCCTCTCCTTCCTCCCCACTTTTCCTGCTTTCTCAACAGTTGTTATTTTTTTTTCTACCCCCCCCAAAAATCGCGCACCCCCCCCCCCCCGTCTCTCCTCCTCTCCCCCCTTGGGGCCATTTTTTTCTATCACGAGAAATCCTTATCGCTGCCAAATTTTCTGATGGTTACAAGGTGTAGCTTTTTTTGGGGTTAAGAAAAAAAAGAAAACTATATTGGAACAAGACGAACGAAATAAAAGAGAAATTGAATTCTGAACGTGGTCGTGGTTGGTGGTGCCGGGCGTGGGGGGGGGCGGTGGGGGCTGGTGCTGGGGTAAATGGGAGCCCAGTTTGAAGGGAGGCAGCCAAAGCTCCGCCCAGTGAGCCTCAGGGCCGCTGAGCGGAGGATCGGCTGCTTCCCGGGTCCAGCGCTCTAACCACTAGGCGCCCGCTGCCTCGGAAGTGGTCAATGGACAAAGAGTTGGGGGAAGAGCCGGGCTTGGGGGCAGGACTCCTGGGTCCCTGACGCCGATGACAAGGGCCCGTCTCCCTTAGGCTGCGGGAAACAATGGTTCAGCCGCAGGCCCGGCACAGAAGGCGCCTGTTTGGCAAACAATGGGAACCGCCAACCGAGGTCCCTTTGTCCTCCTTGCGGCCACAAGTGCTGGTTGCGCCGGGCGCCTCGGGGCAGGGAAGGAGGAAAGCGGGGCTGGGCCGAGGGTTTCTGGCAGAAAAGGATGCGCAAGACACCTTGGCGCCCTCCAGAACTATAACTCCCGCCAGCACATTGGGGGCCGTGAAGGGAGTCGTAGTGCGGAACGTCTGGAGGGTGCCAGGCTGTGGGACGCCAGGTCCAGTTGCTCTGTGCGACATCGCCGTTCTAGAAGCAAAGCAGCCAGGCGTTCCTGCGCTACAACTCCCAACCTCTCCTGCAGGGAAAGGGGGCACCAAGAGGTGGCGGCAGTGGGCATTGCACTGGACCCCTTAGCTCTGCCCAAAAGCCACCTGCCCTCCCTCGGAGCCGGCCCCTGCTTTGTTTAGGAAGGGCGGAGAGCGCCTTCCCGCCTGGGAGTTGTAGCGCAAAGTCCACCCGCTGGGCCTGGCCTGGCCTAACCCTCCTTGTCAACACTGGATGCGGCCGGTGACTCATTGTTTGGGAGCCGTTGCCAGGCGCTGCTTTGGGCGTGTGCCGTTGCCCTGGCATCGGGAGGCGCCTGGCTAGTGCGCGGTTTCTGCATCTCGGAAGCTGTTCTGGATCCCAAATCGTGGAGTTGGCAAAGGGACCCCCAAAGGCCACCCAGCCCAACCCGCTCGGAAAATCCTTGAGCCCTGCTGAAAACCCTCCAGCGGAGGGAGACTCCACCACCTGCAACCTTGCTTCCCTGGGTGCGACTGGTACTACAACTCCCATTATCCTGTGCCAAGCCAGCAGTGGCTAATGGGAGTTGTAGTCCAATACGTGCTAAGTTGAAGAACGTGGCATGAGAGCGTCGGAAGGGAGCCCTGGATAGAACTGGAGGGGGGGTTGCACATCTATTCCAGCTTCCAGACCTAAGGGGACGTCCCTATGGGAAATACAGTTATTGGCCGTTGTGGCAGGGAGTTCCACAGGTTAACAGTGGACATATCTTGTCCTGGTCCTGCAATATTCAGCTAGATCTACAGCGAGAGTGTGAAAAACGTATTTTAGAGCATGATGCTGATAAAAGCCAATGTTGCAGGTTCAAATCCCTGTAGGGATTGTCTGCCCGTTCCTGCATTGCAGGGGTTGGGCTAGATGACCCCCAAGTGTCCCAGCTACGGTTTTTGCCTTTCCTCCAAGCTTAAAAGCCCCCCACGCTGCCTCGTTTTGGCAGCCCTTTTGTGAACCTTCCTCCTCCCTGAGCCGCTGGGGGCCCTGCAAAAACCTGCGCTGGCTTCTCTCTCCGCCCCAGGAAACCTTTTATTTCTCGAAAAAGGCTCCTCCGTCACCCACATCTTCCGGAGACATCGGAGAGCCGTGCGCTCGCAGCCTTTCACCGCAGCCGCTCCCCAAACTGCTGCTTTCTCTCTGCGTTGGGGGGGGGGAGAGGTTAAGAGTCCTAAATGAATCAGGCCAAAGTGGGGGGGGGGTCTGTGTCCCTGTCCCCAAATCGTCCGTCCGGATGACCCCAAATTGGCCCCCAAACGGGAGAGCCAGGCCCTTCCCTGCAAGGGATGCTATTCAGAGGCGTTTCCTGGTGAAAGCCCCTTTTCTCCACTGAACGTGCAGAGTTGGGACCCCGGGGGGTCATCCATCCCAACCCCCTTCGAGGCAGAGATTGACCTCCAAGGAAGGAGAGGCCGCCGCCTTCCGATGGGGCGGAAGAGCCTGCCGGATCGGGCCCAGAGGTGCCCCTTTAGTCCCCATGAGGAACCAGCAAGCAGGACCCGGGTGCAAGAGCCACACTCTTTCCCCCCCCCCACACAATTTCCACTAAATTTGGGTCTGTGGTTCCGATCATTTCAAGGGGGTTGAGCTAGATGACTCCGGGGTCCCCCTTCTGCAAAAGCCGTCTTCTCCTCCATGCAGCCCTCCGGAGAATCGGTTTAATCCTCTTTAAAGCCATCCAGGTCTGCAACTGCCCTAGTCTCCTGTGGCAGGGAGTTCCATAGGCTAGGAGGGCTTGTTTTTTTCCCCTGTCCCAAAAAGTTCCAGTGTTAGGAAAGAGGGAGGAAAAACTTCTCTCTGTGTGTGTGTGCATCGGTTTAATAAACATTGCCTCTTCTGGGCTGTGCGTCAAACCTCTTCCTCTGCTCTTTTATGGGGCCGGGCTAGGAAGGGGGTGGCGCTGGGAACCTGTTCCTCTTTTGCCCTACTTAGGCAGCAGAAAACCGTTCGCTCCCCCCACTTTGCAAACACAAATAGCCCAGCAGACTTTATTTTAAACCGTCTTCCGTTTATTCCGACTTAAATCTCTTTTTTTAATATTACTATATGGAAGTCTTGATTTCCTTTTCCCCTCTGCATCCAGGGCATGCCTGAGCCCTTTGCTGGGGGGGGGGGTCTTCCCCACTCTCCCCCCCCCCCAGGCAAAAGCCCCAGAGGCAGCCCCTTCGCGTCCCACCATAAAACTGTACAGTGAAAAATAAAAAGTCCTTTACAGTAAAAATTATTCAAGGCGATCGAGAGAAGGCTAGGCAGCAGCGACTCTGGCAGGCAGCAGCTGGGGCGGGGGCGAGGAAGAGGAGAAATGGCCCCCTTGGTGCCCCCCCACGAAACCACCACCTCAAAAAACCCAGCCCCCCCCCCGAGGCCCGTTGCTTGTTAGTTCCTACGCAGAAAGAGGGTCAGTATCCTGCCCATTGCGGGGGGGGGGGAGGAACGGACCCCCGGCAGAAATTCCCTGGGGGGGCGTGGAAGGAAAAAAGGGGGTTAAAAGGTAGAGTCCCCCCCCCGCAATAATCATTATTCTAGGATGCTAAATTTGGAAGTTAGTGTGGAAAATTAGGAAGGTCAGCAGCCCCAAGAGGAGGGTTTCTTTTTAATTTGGGGGGGCAGAGAGAACAAGAAGCCCCCCCCCAATTCCTTGGCACACAATGGGGAGAAAAGTGCAAAATCGCAAGAGGGAGGAGGTGGGGGGGGCGCTGCAATGTGGGGTGGTCTACACCCAAAGGACCCCCCCCAACCCACCCTGGGAGTTGTAGGGTGCTGGGGGGTGACGTTTGGCATGCTTTGCAAGGGGGGGCTCCCCATCCATGTGTTAAATTTATATACTGTCCCTCATCATGAGCTCCTCGCTGCCCCCCCCAAAGGATACAGGACTTTCTGGCCCCCTCCCCACAAAAAAAAATACTGTGTTTAATTGGGACCCCCCCCTGCACCAAGTTTGAGGAGGGGGAGGCTCTGCTTCAGCCGCTATGGGGTCTCTCTCTCCCCCCCACAGGAAAAAGGGGGCTTGTGCTCTGGGGGGGGAGATGTGTGCCCCCCACCCTGCAAAGGAACCAGGCAGGAGATTCCTGCCCCCTCCCTCTTGGCTTTTGCATCCTGTCCCCCCCCCATAAAAAAGACACCCAAAGGGGTCTTGGACCGACCTCCCCCACCCCACTCCTGCCCTGCGCCCCCCCCAAATGCTGCAAAGACCCCCAGACTCCCTGAAAAGTTAACATATATAGTGGAAGCTCAGTGGTCAAAAGCAGGAGGGACGAAGTGGGGGGTTTCAGCCGCCCCCCCCACTCCGGCTTCCCTTTGGGGTGGGGTGCCTGACCCGGGGGGTGCCCCTCTTGCGCCCCCCATGCCCAGCACGGCGCTAGACCGGGAGGGGCCCCCTGGGAAGAAGGCCCTTCGTCTGGTCCCAATCCTGGTCCCCTTCGCCCCCCAACTCTTGCGTGTGGTCCTGGGGGGCGGCGGAGGGGGGCGACTGCCCAATGCTGCCGAAGGAGGGCCCCCCCAGGGCGGCGCTGGGCGAGGGGCGCAGGAGGGGGGTGCGCTCCGAGTCGCCCCCTTCCTCTCCTTCCTCCTCTTCCTCCTCTTCCCCATGGCCCCCCTGGCCCCCCGCCTCTTCCTCGTCCTGGGGGGCGCGGAGACCCTCTTCGCCCTCTGAGTCCGAGTCGTCCGGGGAGCGCAGCACCCTCTGCTTGCAGACGGGGCAGGTCTTCTTGGTCTGCGTCAGCCAGGGGTCCACACACTTGCAGTGGTAGGCTGGGAAGAGAGAAGAGATTGAGGGGTCCGCCGGATGGGATACTCCGAAGGCCATCCAGTCCAACCCGCGGGTGGCGCACGGGGTGCAAAACGCAAGAATCCCCAGAAGATGGCCGGCCAAACTCAAGAATCCCCAGAAGAGGGCTGGCCAAACTCAAGAATCCCCAAAAGGTGGCCGGCCAAACTCAAGAATCCCCAAAAGGTGGCCGGCCAAACTCAAGAATCCCCAGAAGATGGCCGGCCAAACTCAAGAATCCCCAGAAGACGGCCGGCCAAACTCAAGAATCCCCAGAAGATGGCCGGCCAAAAGCCTCCAAGGAAGGAGAATCCTCCGCCCTCCAGGGTCACAGGTGTTGTAGACTTGGGAGGTACCCCCAAAGGTCATCCAGCCCAACCCCGATTCCAGCTAAAGGATCCCAGGGGTGAACGGTCGCCCTCCTGTTTGCAAATTATCCTCCTCAAATCGTGGTGCCCAGAACGGGACGCATCCTGGCAAGGGATCCCTTTGGAGTCCCTGGGTTCTCCTTACCGTGAGAGCAGGGCAGGATTCGCAGCCGCTCCCCGTCTTCGTACTCCTCCAGGCAGATGGCGCAGACGTCGTACTCGTCCCCTGCGGGAAGGAGGCGGGGAAAGACATCATCAGGAGGGGATCCCGTCATCCTCAAAGAAACATGGGGTTGTGGAGTTGCAAGGGACCCCGAGAGGTCATCCAGACCAACCCCAGGAAATGCTGGAGAAATCTGTGCTCAGAAACACCCTCCCACCCAAGGCAGGATCTGTTATCTGGGGGCAGGCAAGGCTATTCTGCCTGTGCAAGGATTCGAACCCGCTCCCTCTGTCCGGGAGTCTGGCTCAGGCTGCTGCCCCCCCCCTTCAGTCAAGACGCCAGCCCTCGATTCTCAGATCTATTTCATCGTTAACTGTCGTCTCGCTTATTAATCATTAGCTGCAGGGGTTGCTCACCAATCATCATGTGTTGTTATTTATCGCTGCTGTAATTATTATTAACGTCCGCTGCCATTATTTATTACTACTATTATTAGCCGTTATAATTATTAATTGCTTGCCATCCACCATTAAGGTCCTGGGGTGGGTGACTTCCATTGAAAGGCCAAGCTAGAAGCACAGAAATAAGGCAATTGCTGCATTGCCGGGGGGCTCGGCTGGATGACCGCTGGGGGTCCCATCCATAACTCTATAGGTGAAGGAAGCACAGAAGAGGCAGGAGGCTCCCAGCACCGTCTGTGTGGGGCAGCAAAGGGTGGAGTGGGGGGTCAGAAAAAGGTGGGGGGTTTATTAACCTCAAAAGGAAGTACTGAATTTCCACATGCCTGGGATTCTGGAGCTGCGATTCCCGCATTGTAGGCAGGTTGGGATGGATGACCTTTGGGGTCCCTCCCTATTCCACCCTGGATTCCTTGCGCATGGCAGGCGGGTTGGGATGGATGACCTTTGTGAGTCGCTCCCTATTCCACCACAGAATCCTTGCGCATTGCAGGTGGGTTGGGATGGATGACCTTTGGGGGTCCCTTCCTATTCCACCCTGGATTCCCTGCGCATTGCAGGCGGGTTGGGATGGATGACCTTTGGGGGTACCTTCCTACTCCACCATGGATTCCTTGCGGGTTGGGACGGATGACCTTTGGGGATCCCTCCCTATTCCACCACGGATTCCTTGCAGCTTGCTCTGGGGCGGGTGGGGGGCTCCTCTATCCCCCCCCAAGTTGTACATGGGCCTCTCTCTCTTTCCCCTGCAACAACCCTGTGAAAACAGGAAGCAGCCTCCCTCGCAGCAGCAGCAGCAGCGTCAGGGAAGGGAAGCGGTCAGAGCCCGGCTGCTGCTGCTCAGCTGAAGCCTGCAAAAGTCTCTGCCGGGCCTTATAAGGCAAACGGCAGCCGGTCGGCCTCTCTCTCCCGCTCTGAGTCAGCCTTGGCCAAAGCCGGGCGGGAGACCGAGGAGAGGAAAGGGGCGGGGAGGCCGCAAGAGGCCTGCCGGATCAGGGCCCCGGCCTCGCTAGCATCCCGTTCTCACAGGCGCCGACCGCAAAGGCGGGATTCGAACGCAGGACCGGCGCGGAAGCACGGCTTGCTTCTCACAATCGCCTCCAACAGAATGATTTCCCCTCTGTGAATTTGCCCCCAAAGGTCATCCAGCCCAACCCCAGTCCCTTGCAATGAAGGAATCTCAGTTGCCAAATCCCTGGGGTTGGTCTGGATGACCCCCGGGGTCCCTTCCGTCTCGATGGTTCTAGGATTCTCTCACCCAACCTCTGCTTAGAAAGGAAGGAGAATGAGGGAGATTTTCCTTCTCTGAAGCCGATTGGGACCTTGCAAGCAGCTAGTCCCTAATGAGGACAGAAGCGCAGAAGTGCGGAGCTAAGCCAGGGACCCTCAGGGGTCATCCAGCCCAACCCCCTGCATACAAAGGGGAAAGTCATCCCCATTTGGGGACAAGTCTCTACAGTCGCCCCCCTCCTGGGGTTCATGTCGGGGGCTCTCTGGCTACCCGGACGCCTGGGTCCCTCTCCTGACCATTTCCTTGCAAGCGCCAGAAGTGCACAACTCGCACCCATGCCCCTGCGTCCAAAAGGAGGCTGCGGCCGAAAACCCCGCGCCCCCCAGGCTGCTTTTCTGCTGCGGAGGAAATTGCTGCCTGTTAAAGAGGACGATCTGGTTGGATGGCTGCACTGCCCGGGGTTGGGCTGGATGACCCCTGGGGGTCCCCTTCCAGTCCTTAGGATTCTGGGCTGGAAAGGAGGTGAAAAGGCAAAGCCCTTCTCCCCCTTTCGCAAGAAAGGCAGAGAGAGAATGGAAAAAACCCCAAGGTGTGGGTTGCAGCGCAGTCTAGGCTGTTGCAGCGCAGCCGCTCCCCCCCCCCCCTTTGGCCCTGAAAGGGGAAGGAAGATACAGATCTTTGGCGGGAAGAGGGGGGGAGGAGGGGCGGCAGGGCGCCCTCTGGCGGGGAAAGGGGGCACTGCAGGGACACACACACACTCACACACACAAAGACACACACAAAGACACAGACACAAACACAGACAGACGCACACACACACACACAAAGACAGACACAAAGACACACACACACAAAAAAACATACACAAAGAGACACACACACACAAAAACAGACACAAACACACACACAAACACAGACACACAAAAACCCAGACACAAAGACACACACAAAAAACCCAGACACACACAAACACAGACACAAAGACACACACAAAAAACCCAGACCCACCCACACACACACAAAAACACACACAAACAGACACAAAGATACACACAGACACAAAAACCCAGACACAAAGACGCACACACACACATACAAACCCAGACACAAAGACACACACAAAAAACCCAGACACACACACACACACACACACACAAAGACACACACACAAAGACACACAAAAATACACAAAAACACAGACACAAAGACACACACACACACACACTCTCTCTCTCTCCTGTGAACAAATCCCTGCTCCTCCTAGTCCAGGGGTCAGCAAACTTTTTCAGCAGGGGGCCGGTCCCCTGTCCCTCAGACCTTGTGGGGGCTGGACTATATTTATTTTGGGGGGGATGAACGAATTCCGACGCCCCACAAATAAACCAGAGATGCATTTAAAATAAAAGGACACCTTCTACTCATGTAAAAACACGCGGATTCTTGAACCGTCCGCAGGCTGGATTGAGAAGGCGATTGGGCCGGATCCGGCCCCCGGGCCTTAGGTTGCCTAGACTAGGCATGGCCAAACGTGGCCCTCCAGCTGTTTGGGGACTACAACTCCCATCATCCCTAACATACAGTGGTCAGAGATGATGGGAATTGTAGTCCCAAAACAGCTAGAGGGCCAAGGTTGGCCATGCCTGTGACCTAGACTTTTCCAAGCCCCTTTCCCCCCACATAGCCCTTTCTCCTGCTCCTTCCTCCATCCAGCTGGGTCAGCGCCTCCCCCTCCAGGGAGCTGCCTGAGATCCGAGGCAAGGCGGCGATCCGGATTCGAACACAAGACCAGCCCTCTCCCCTCTGCTTCTGGCAATTGGCCTTCAGAAGTGTTTGCTGCTGTGGCAGAGAATAGCCACATGGCCAGTGACCACTGATAGCCTTTTCATGCACTGGCCCAACCCTCTTTCAAAGCCATTCAGGTCGGCGGCCCCTCCTGTGGCAGGGAGTTCCACAGGTGAACCGGAAAACGAATTTCGCTGCTGCTTCTGGCTGGGCAGAGGTGCCATTGCCAGAGTCGGCTCCCCGCTGCCTGGGGACACCTGCCCTCTTCCTCCATCACCCCGGCTGTGATTCGATTCCTGCATTGAAGGGGTTGGGATAGATGACCCCCCGGTGTCCCTTCCAACTCTTTGTATGCCAATCAGGAAGATTTCAACTACACCTCCCGCCAGGCGGCTCCAGCTTTTGGGGAAAAGGCTGCTACTCCAGGAAGCTTCCTCCTTGGCCAGATCCGATCCTCCCAGGCGGCAGCCCACCCTCCCCCAGGGAACCCCCCACCTTACCTTTCTTGTACTTGTGGACGGGGACTTTCTTCAGCTGCTCCTTTGAGAGCCGGTTCCTCCGCATCCTCTTCCGGTGCTGGATGCAGCGCACAATCTGCTCCGAAAGGGAGAAATCGGATTTGTGATCGGCTCTTCTTGCCTGGCACGGGGTTGGGCTGGATGACCTCTGGGGGACCCACCCCATTCTACGATTCTGTGCTTCAAGGAGTCCTTAGTAGGGGGTTACTGCTATTGCACACCCCTCATTTTAGGCACAAAACTCCTCCTTTTTTTATCCCAATACATTCGTGGAAAAGAATCTCTAGAATCACAGAATCGCGGAGTCTGAAGGGGACCCCCAGTGGTCATCCAGCCCAACCCGCTGCACGCAATGCAGGAATCTCAGCTCAAGCATTCAAGGCAGACGGCCATCTAACCTCTGCTTAAAAACCTCCAAGGGAGGAGAGTTCACAGCTCCACTGCTGAACAGCTCTGACTGTCAGAAAGTTTTTCCGACAGTTTAATCGGAATCTCCTTTCTGGGCACTCGAAGCCACGGGTTCGAGTCCTACCCTCCAGACCAGGAGAAAAAACAAGTTGCTCCCTCTTCCATGTCACTGAGATCTTGGAAGGTGGATACACTATAGTCTCCTGTTTTCCATGCTAAACATCCCCGGCTGCCCACTGAGATGAGCTTTGCAAGAGGCCAGCTGCCCACTGAGATGAGCTTTGCAAGAAGCCAGTTGCCCACTGAGATGAGCTTTGCAAGAGGCCAGCTGCCCCCTGAGAGGAGCTTTGGAAGAGGCCAGCTGCCCACTGAGATGAGCTTTGCAAGAGGCCAGCTGCCCACTGAGATGAGCTTTGCAAGAGGCCAGCTGCCCACTGAGATGAGCTTTGCAAGAGGCCAGCTGCCCACTGAGATGAGCTTCGCAAGAGGCCAGTTGCTCACTGAGATGAGCTTTGCAAGAGGCCAGCTGCCCACTGAGATGAGCTTTGCAAGAGGCCAGCTGCCCACTGAGATGAGCTTTGCAAGAGGCCAGCTGCCCATCAAGATGAGCTTTGCAAGAGGCCAGCTGCCCATTGAGATGAGCTTTGCAAGAGGCCAGCTGCCCATTGAGAGGAGCTTTGCAAGAGGCCAGCTGCCCCCTGAGGTGAGCTTTGCAAGGGGCCAGCTGCCCATCAAGATGAGCTTTGCAAGAGGCCAGCTGCAAACCCAGCTCCTTCAACCGTTCCTCATCCAGCTTGGTTTCCAGACCCCTGTCAATCTCTCAGCCCACCTTCCAGCTTGCCAATCTCCTTCCCAAACTGGGGTGCCCAGAACTGCAGCCCTCCAGCCGGGGGTCTGACGGAGGCAGCACCTGGGGGAGGAATCTGACGCCCTGAATCTCAACACTAGACTTCCAGGGGACCCCTGGACCTATTGAGGTGGATGTGCTTTGCAAGAGAGCAGTTGCCCACTGAGATGAGCTTTGCAAGGGGCCAGCTGCCCACTGAGATGAGCTTTGTAAGAGCGCAGCTGCCCACTGAGATGAGCTTTGCAAGAGGCCAGCTGCCCACTAAGATGAGCTTTGCAAGAGGCCAGCTGCCGATTGAGATGAGCTTTGAAAGAGGCCAGCTGCCCACTGAGGTGAGCTTTGCAAGAGGCCAGCTGCCCACTGAGGTGAGCTTTGCAAGAGGCCAGCTGCCCACTGAGATGAGCTTTGCAAGAGGCCAGTTGCCCACTAAGATGAGCTTTGCAAGAGGCCAGCTGCCCACTAAGATGAGCTTTGCAAGAGGCCAGTTGCCCACTGAGATGAGCTTTGCAAGAGGCCAGTTGCCCACTAAGATGAGCTTTGCAAGAGGCCAGCTGCCCATTGAGAGGAGCTTTGCAAGAGGCCAGCTGCCCACTAAGATGAGCTTTGCAAGAGGCCAGCTGCCGATTGAGATGAGCTTTGCAAGAGGCCAGCTGCAAACCCAGCTCCTTCAAGCTGTTGCAGGAATTTATGTATGGATTGGGGGGGGTTGCCCCTCCAGCAGATATCAGGCACATGCAGCCCACTACCAAAATCAATCCTCGCAAGAAAAGGGAAAAGTTGACAACTATGGTGTCCGTCCATCCATTCTCTCCCCCCCCCTTTCCTCGCACGGTCACTCACCAGAATGGTGCACATCACGGCCATGACAATTCCCACGACCCCCGTGAAAGGGATCAGGTAATAGCCCAGGGGGAAGATGTATTCCGGGATCAGGATCACTTGGCCTCTGCGGAGGAGGAGGAGAAAAGAGAGCGGATTCAGAAAACCCAAAGATCTCAGCCTTGGCTCAGAATCTGGGGTGCAAAATACAAAATAATAGAGCGGCTAACAACAGTAAAAATAACCCGGTTTACATAAAATCGCAATCAATTCATTGAAATACATTCGAAAATCAATTCATTCTGAAATCAATTCAGAGTCAATAAGAAGGGGAAATACCACCAGACATCCGTTTCACCCCCTAGGACACTTTGAGCACCAAGGAAGGTGCGGAAGATAAAATTGAATTTTTCCCCCTTTTTCCTTTCTTTCTTTCTTTCTTTTTAAAATATATTTTATTTTTTACCAACCACCAAAACACAAACAGTGAACGCCCCCCCCCGCAGGCATTTGATACATTGGGTATACAATATTCAATAATATAGAATATTCAATAATATACATATTCAATAATATTCCATAATAACGTATTCACATCAACCATATGTATGCTTCTATATTCCCTAACACTCCTCCCTCCACAAGGTTTATTTCACTTTTAACATCTTAATTGCCCCAAATTAAATATGCAGAAAAAGCTATAAAATAAACTGTGCGATAATATCAAAACATTAGAAAAAAGTACAACGAGAATGATTGGACGTTTTTTGTTCTAGAAGACTTAATTGGTCAAGATTATGAGAATACAACCGATATTCTTTTATTTTAATGTTAATTCTTCTTGGCTTTTTACTTTTATTCTTGTTATTCCCTTTTCATTTTCGTGTGAAATTTTCTTGTAACTATTTGTAACGCATTTTTGTGATAGTATTTTAAATCAATAAAGATCTATTCAAAAAAATAAATAAATAAAGGGAAACTTGGCCCTTTTATGGTTTTAAAATGCCACCTGCTGGACGGTTTGCAGTTAGGAAGAACGTAAAAAACGTAAGGAGAATCTGCCGGATCAGGCCCACCTAGCCCAGCCTCCTGTTCCCACAGGGGCCAACCAGGGGCCCCTAAAGCAGGCATGGTCAAACTCGGCCCTCCAGGTGTTTATGGGACTACAACTCCCATCATCCCTGACCGCTGGTCCCGTTAGCTAGGAATGATGGGAGCTGTAGTCCCAAAACAGCTGGAGGGCTGAGTTTGGGGGTGCCTGCCCTAAAGGGAAGCCCCAAAAACAAGGGCAAGAACACAAACAAACCAGTATGTTTCCGAGCACAATTCAAAGTGTTGGTGCTGACCTTGAAAGCCCTAAACGGCCTCAAAGGCCCAGTAGGCCTGAAGGAGCATCTCCACCCCCATCACTCAGCCCGGACACTGAGGTCCAGCGCTAAGGGCCTTCTGGCGGTTCGCTCCCTGCGAGAAGTGAGGTTACAGGGAACCAGGCAGAGGGCCTTCTCGGTGGTGGCACCCGCCCTGTGGAACGCCCTCCCACTAGATGTCAAAGCGATAAACAACGACCTGACATTCAGAAGACATCTGAAGGCAGCCCTGTTCAGGGAAGTTTTTAATCTGTGATATTTTAGTGTATTTTTCATCTTTGTTGGAAGCCGCCCAGAGTGGCTGGGGAAACCCAGCCAGATGGGCGGGGTATAAATAATACATTATTATTATTATTATTATTATTATTATTATTATTATTATTATTATTTATATCCCGCCGCCCCCAGCCAAAGCCGGGCTCAGAGTGGCTAACAACAGTAAAAATAACACAGTTTACATAAAATCGCCATCAATTAATTGAAATACATTCGGAAATCAATTCATTCTGAAATCAATTCAGAGTCAATAAGAAGGGAAAATGCCATCAGACATCCGTTTCACCCCCTTGGACACTTCGAGCCCCAAGGAAGGTGCGGAAGATAAAATTGGGGGGGGGGGAATCTTTCTTTTTTTCTTTTTTAAAAATACATTTTATTTTTTACCAACCACCAAAACACAGGGAAACCCCCCCCCCCCGGCGGCTGATACATTGGGTATACAATATTCAATAATATAGAATATTCAATAATATACATATTCAATAATATTCAATAATAACATATTCAAATCAACCATAGGTAGACTTCTATATTCCTTAACACTTCCTTAACCTACCCAAATAATTCGATATCTTCTCAAACCAATCCTCCTCTTTCTCACTGACCTTAAACCCTTTCATTCTATGCACCTAAAATTATAATATTATTCAGTTTTTTTCCTCCATTGGTTCACCCCTAACTCTTCTGCATTTTCCCAATTACTCGCTGTAACCTGCCTGGTTGCAATTACCATCAATTTTACCCATTTGCATTCCTCTTTTGTTTTTACCTGGGTGCTACTCAGGGTAATAAGAACCATTAATTTAGTTATTTCCAAATTGAAAAAAATTATTCCCCCTGATATTTTCACAAAGAGGGGCTGCTTTCTAAAAAAAAATAAAGGAGAGACGCTCAGCTGAAATTCCCCTTCTTGCCTCACCCCTAATTTCAGGGTTCAAGGAAGAGGTAGGGATCTAGCACCGAATTTGTGCTTTTGGGACCTACAATGATAGAATTGGAAGGGAACCCAGAGGTCATCCATCCCAACCCGCTGCAAGGCAGGAACCCCCTTTGCCGTTTCCTCCAAAGCTTTGGCCAAAAGGAACCCCCCGATGAAAAATCTCTCCCTTCTGTGCCTTTTGCCCAGGAAAAAGCCCGGGAAATCCCAAAGAAAGTGAAATTGGGACGGAAGGGTCTGCAGCCCTTCTCCCAAAGCCCAGGAATGGCGGAGAATATTCATTTTATTTGGAAAAGGAAGACGCCGGTGTCATTGATTGCAGCTGGCTTTTAAAGGGAATCACACTGTAAAGATCAATGAAACTATCCTGGCAGAATTGAATGATACTTCTGTATAATAAATAACTGGAAAAAATATTTTAGAAGAATATGCAGGAAAAGCTACAAAATAAACTGCGCGATATTCTTTTGTTTTAATGTTAATTCTTCTTGGCTTTTTATTTTTATTCTTGTTATTCCTTTTTCCTTTTTGTGTGGAATTTTGTTGCAACTATTTGTAATGCATTTGTATGACAGTATCTTAAATCAATAAAGGTATCTTAAAAAATAAATAAATAAAGGGAAACTTGGCCCTTTTATGGTTTTGAAATGCCACCTGCTGGACAGTTTGCAGTTAAGAAAAATGTAAAAACGTAAGGAGAATCTGCAGGATCAGGCCCACCTAGTCGAGCCTCCGGTTCCCACAGCGACCAACCTGGTGCCCCTAAACCAGGCATAGGCCACCTCGGCCCTCCAGATGTTTTGGGACTACAACTCCCATCATCCCTGACCGCTGGTCCTGTTAGCTAGGGATTATGGGAGTTGTAGTCCCAAAACATCTGGAGGGCCGAGGTGGCCTACGCCTGCCCTAAAGGGAAGCTCCAAAGCAGGATTCGAACTCAAGACCAACACTTTCCAGCAACTGGGATTCAGAAGCATCTGGCTGCGGGGGCAAAACGCAGCCACCCAGGGCTAGTAGCCATCAGCTGCCCTCTCCTCCTCATGAATTTTTCTAATCCTCTTTTAAAGCCATCCACATTATAATGATGATAATAATATAATAATAATTTATTATTTATACCCCGCCCATCTGGCTGAGTTTCCCCAGCCACTGCTTGGTGGCCCATCGCTGGGCTCAGTGGCAGGGAGTTCCACAAAACGGCGTTCCCGTGCGCTGCTCTGGTTCGCCAGAAGCGGCTTAGTCCTGCTGGCCACATGACCCGGAAGCTGGAAGCCGGCTCCCTCGGCCAATAAAGCGAGATGAGCACCGCAATCCCAGAGTCGGTCACGACTGGACCTAACGGTCAGGGGTCCCTTTACCTTTTTATTATGGTATTTTAATATTTTGTTGGAATCCGCCCAGAGTGGCTGGGGAAGCTCAGCCAGATGGGTAGGGTATAAATAATAAATTATTATTATTATTATTATTATTATTATTATTATTATTATTATTAGACGCAGCAGCCCAAAACGCAGTCGCACAGCAAATTGGTCAATGTGATCCATTTACCGTATTTACTGAAATGTAACACACGCCATTTGGGGCTGAGTTATGTTGTGAATATTAGGGTGCGCAATAAGATTTGAGGGCACATTTACATTTGCCGGCAAACACTTTTGGGGGTTCAATTGTTGTTGTTTTTTTAAAATGCTTTTGGATGAAAAATCTTTCTAAAGGTAGTTTTCTATTTAAGTTACATTATAGGCTATTGATCAGGAATTAAGGATTTGAGTTCTTCATGCGTGCTAAAACTCAGTCTAAGCTTTCTTTTTTTAAAAAAAAAAATAGTTTAACCACATCAGTTAACAAACATATGCTATAATGTTATTGTTTTAGTTATATAAGTTTTTAAAAATTGTTATTAAGGAAATGATTATTTTTCTCCTTCCAATAAAGAACAGCAGAAAAGTTGTCCAAACATAAACAGTCAACTTATTAAACCTCACCATAATTTCATAATTCTCTATGCATTTCCAATAGTATAACCAAATCAGTCATTTTTGATATAACTGTAAAAACGACTCTGAAAATTCATTATTCCAAAAATGAAACCTTCATCTGGTTTGTAAACATTAAGATTATACCAGCAAGAATGAGGCTTCCTGTAAAAAGAATATGATTTAAATCAAGTCTTAGTGACTAGTGATTTAAATCGATTTGATTTAAATCATGATTTAAATCGATTTGATTTAAATCGTGATTTAAATCGATTTGATTAAATCGTGATTTAAATCGATTTGATTTAAATAAAATCCACCCTGCTTTCTGGGATACAAGGTTTTGAAAATCGAGGTGCACATTAGATTCCAGGGCGCATTCAATTTCTGAAAATGCGGTATACGGGGTTATAGACGTATTTACATCCCTGGCGTCTTACAGAGTCGCGGTTTTAAAACTTCCCTTTTCCTTCCGTCCCTTTTCTTGCATTGATACCCAAATCGGCGTTGCATCGCAACACTGAAAAAGGTACTATGATGCATATATGGTGGAATTGTTTAAACATCAAAGAATTTTGGGAAACAATATACAATGAAATGAAAAAAATGTTCAGATATTCGTTTAGGAAAACATCCGAAGGTTTTCTATTGGGAATAGTGCCAGGAAGTCTAAAGGAAGAAGACAAGACGTTATATTTATACGCAACAGTAGCCGCAAGGCTATTGATTGCGAAAAATTGGAAAAGTGGTATTATACCGACAAAAACAGAGTGGCTTGCCAAATAATTGGAGTATTACAATATATGCAAAACAATGGGAGAAATTGGAAGGATCTCAAAAGAGAAGATAGACAAGGTGTTTAAAGGATACTTGCAAAATCATACTGAAAAATCAGAATGCCTATTAGAATAAACAAGTTCCGTTATAAATAGTGAAATACTAAATAAGATGAATAACAATGTGTAACAGAAAAAGAAGCAGAAAATTGGTTTAAAACTGTGTGAAAGAAAGTAATAGAAGTGGAAAGAAATTGCAATTGAGTAGATAAAGGAAGTATCTGTGGGATTGAGTGTGGGTATGTATGAATATTTTAAAGGATTGTATAAAAAGTATATTTGTATATTCGTAATATGTATGTATTAATGTTGAATTATTTTAAAATACAGTGGTGCCCCGCAAGACGAATGCCTTCCGTTTTTGAGTTGCTTCGCAAGACGATTTTCCCTATGGGCTTGCTTCGCAAGACGAAAACGTCTTGCGAGTCTTGCGATTTTTCCCCGCTTTCCCCCCCTTTCTCTAAGCCGCTAAGCCGCTAATAGCCGCTAAACCGCTAATAGCGCTAATCCGCTAAGCCGTTAATAGGGTTGCTTCGCAAGACGAAAAAACCGCTAGACGAAGAGACTCGCAGAACGGATTAATTTCGTCTTGCGAGGCACCACTGTAAAATATTTGGGGGGGGGGAAGATACCCGAATCAGCGGCCGGCCACAATCCCCGCATTTCACTGCGATCCCCGCATTGCAGGAGCGGGTTGAGATGGATGACCTTTGGGGGTCCTTTGCAACTCCACAAACCTATGACCCCAAGCGCTAAACCGGGGGGCGGTGGGGGCGCTTGGGGGGCAGCTCAGGAACCCTCTTTGCCCTCCCCCCGCCCAGCGCTGGGAATTTCAGTGCGCCGATAAATGAGTGTCTCCCCACCCCACCCCACAGCCGCTGCCCCATAGCTCCTACCCTTTCTCGTAGGTGAAGGAGTCGCGAAGGAGTCTGGCGGCCATCTCTCCGATGAAGACGGAGGGGATGGTGACCAGCTTGCGTAGTTCCTCTGGGGGGGGGCGGAAGAGAAAGCGGGGAGTCAGCCGGGAGCCCCCGGAGAAGGGGTGCCAGAAAAGGGGTTCAGGAAAAGGGGGTGCGTTATCTGCCCCCCAAAAGAGCTCACCGCTGTCCCAAACCATGTTGAGCAGTTTGTCCGAACCCACGTTGTGGACGATGGCAGCCCGGAAGCCGGCCTTCTGGGCGTGGAATACCTGCGGGAAGAAGAGGAGGACGTCAAAGTCTGAAAAGCGCTCTGCGCATGCTCAGAGGGTTCCGAAAAGCACTCTGCGCATGCTCAGAGGGTGCTGTTTTCCCAGCCGGCCCACAACACACATCCTGGGGAAGGGGCAAAGGTGGGGCAGAGAAACGGCCTTGCGGGAGCAGAAGAGGCCGAGCTCATCGCCAGGAGGGTCTGGCGGATCGGGCCCCGTCTATTCCAGGGGCCCAAAGAGCCCTCCGAACCGAGGGATCGAGGTAGACTGCCTCTGGCCCTGGAGGTTACACCGCAAGAACATCAGGGTCCAGCCTTCTGTTCTCCCAGGGGTCAACGAGGCGCCCAGGATAGGAAACCCAGCGGACTTTCTCCCAGGGAGAAGGATTCGAACCCAAGACCAAATCCCCCCTCCTGCGGTTTTTGGCAAGAACATACTCAGAAGCACTGGCCGCCTCTGTGTGGCCGTCCTGATTCAACGCCACAAAACTGCCCGGTCCTCTTTGTAATTATTATTATTATTATTATTATTATTATTATTATTATTATTATTTATTATTATTTCTACCCTGCCCATCCGGCTGGGTTTCCCCAGCCACTCTGGGCGGCTTCCAACAGAATATTAAGAATACAATCAAATATCAAAAGCTTCCCTAAAACAGAGCTGCCTTCAGATGTCCTCTAAAAGTCAGATCGTTGTTTATTTCAATAATAATCATAATATTAATAACTTTATTATTTATACCCTAGCCACTCTGGGCGGCTCCCAACAGAACACTAAAAACAGAATTAAAACATTAAAAACTTCCCTAAACAAGGAAAATCGTGGAGGAAAGGGCTATTTGGATGTGGGCGGTCCCCTCTTGAGTTCCACTGTCTAACTGTGCGAGAAAGGGCTTCTATCGGCCCCGAATCTTCCGGCGTTAAAGTCGCGTGGGCTTCCCCTCCCCAAATAAAAAAGGGGGGCTCATCCTGAACCCCTCTGGTCACCTTGAGGTCGAAGCTGCAGTCGTTCCTCCGAATGAGGGCGATGAAGACGGTGCCGTTGGAGAGAACCGGGGCGTCTTCGATGGCCTGGCAGGCGTTGGCCGGCTTGGCTTCCACCAGAAAGCCCTGGAAATGAGATATTGGAGGGGGGGGGGAGAAGGGTCAGCCTGGTGCCCCCCCTGACCTCACGGACCGGGCACAAGTTCTGCCCCAGAGTGTCAGGGACAAAGGCGCCAGAGGCTGGCAGGATCCAGCCCCTTCCCCTGCTGTCTTATTTAATCATTTCACAAAAAGCACCTCTCTATTTACTTAACCACCCCCATTAAATAATAATAATAATAATAATAATAATAATAATAATAATAATAATTCATTTAACTGCTCCTCAAAAATTCAGTTATTTAATTATTTCCTTAACATTATTATTATTTTTTGCACCCCATTTTTTTTAAATATTCATTTAACGGCTCCTCAAAATTCAGTTATTTAATTATTTCCTTAACATTTTTTTTTCACCCCCCTTTTTTTTTTTAAAAAGGTTATTCATTTAACGGCTCCTCCAGATTCGGTTATTTCATTATTTCCTTAACATTCCCCCCCCCCCAATTTTTTTTTTTTAAAAAGGTTATTCATTTAACTGCTCCTCCAAATTCGGTTATTTCATTATTTCCTTAACCTTTTTTTTTGCACTTTTTTGCACTAAATTATTATTAATGTTGCAATACATACATGAAATCTTTACATATTGATACGTATACGTTATATTTGTAAATTTTCACATTTCCTTATGTACCAATGTTTATCCATTTCTTATTTCTTCCCTGTGCGTAACTTCCTTGTTATTATTTTGCCACTTTATTACTGAGATTGTCGTTTTGTATCTTAATAATTAAACATCCAGTCTTATATATCTGCTTGGCTTAACTTTGTGAAATCAGTCTAGACATATCAATACATTCTTGTTCTGAGCATCTTTCGGTCATGTATTCCTCTACACATTTCAATCCCTGCTGGAGATTTCGATTAGATTGTATTGCCGTCATTTTTGCTAATCATTTCAAAAAAATTATATTGCCAATCTCTCAGTGTTGGTACTTCTTCCGATTTCCTTAACATTTTCATCCGTCGCTTGATTGCCCCCCCCCAAAAAACCCCTCAAAATATTATTTTTAAAAACGATTAAACTATAGGTAAAAGACCCCAAATGTTCAAAACACCCGTGAAATTAAAACCAGCTATGAACTAAGAAACGCAGCGGCGTTCTGAGACCCCCGGGTGGGTATAAGGCGGTATATAAATCTAATTAATAATAATAATAATAATAACTTGTTTTTATTATTGCTTGTTAGCTGCCCTGAGCCTGGCTTTGGCTGGGGAGGGCTGGGTATAAATAAAAATTATTATGATTATTATTATTATTAACAGAAGAAGAAATCTGGGAAGAGCCTCCTGAAAAGGGTTCGGGGCTCTCATGAGGCAGGGAGTTCCACAGGCCGCACTGAAAATATTGATTTCTGGAGGGTTGTGCGGCACCCGTTTTTCGGGGAGACTCACCACGAGCCCCTCGTGCGGCAGGGGCTCCCCAAAAAGGGCTGGCAGGTCGTTGAACTCCATGCTGGAATTGTGATCCGACATCTGTTTTTCGGGGAGACGGAAAGAGAAAAAGAGTTGGGTAAGTCTGGGGAAACGCAATTTTGGGGAATTTGGAGCAGGATCCCCTCTAGGGCTTTCCGTGGGGAGAAGGGGAGACTCACCGCGTGAATGTAGCCCTGGGCAGCCGGAAGCTCCAGGAGCAGGAAAACCGGCAGGACCAGGAACGCCGCCGGAAGCGGGTTCTGCGTTCGAATCATGACGCCTGGCAGGCAGGCGGGCGGACCAGCGACTCCTAGGGCAAAGAGCAGCATCATCGCAGGAGGGTCAGGGAAGGAGAAGGGAAAGCTTAAAAGAACTTTTGTGAGAAAACCAGAAGCGTTTTTTATTAGGAATTCTGGGTCCGGATGTCCCAAAGGTAGCAGAAAAGGCTGTTTTTATGTATGCTGACATAATAAGCGTACATAGATAAAAGGACTTTAAAGTACCTACAAGAACAGAATGGCAGACAAAGGCTATGGCGAAAACGACCAGGAAGATCAGAGATCAAATGGATAATAGATAAAGAACGGGGGGAAATTTGTAAGTTACCTAAAAGAACACTGTGAACAATTAAAAACATGGGCAGGATCCTAAAAAATAGGGTCCAGGGATTCAGAGAATCTTATGTGTGTATGATGATGGCTTATTCAGGACGCTAATTGTTAAAGCTAAAAATGAATTTTAAAAATTAGTATTTTTTAAAAAAGGAAGGAGCAGGCCCAGGCAGCCTCTGACCATGTCCAGAATGCCTGCCACCCCCTCCATCTGGAAGAGGATGTGGATAACAGGCTGGATCAGGATTCGAACCCTGAACTCCCAGGTCCTAGTCTGACACTCCAACCCAGTGTTTCCCAAAATTGGGTCTGTTTTTGGACGACAACTCCCATCTTCCCCTAGCTGGCAGGACCAGCGATCAGGGATGATGGGAGCTGTAGTCCAAAAACAGCCGGAGACCCAAAGTTTGGGAAACTCTGCTCTAACCACTGCACCACATTGCCTTCCTAGCGTTCTCCTGCTGTGGGGCAGCTCTGTCAATTAAGCCGGGGGGGGGGGCGAAGTAAAATGCCGTTTAGAGAAGGATCTGAAATGCCTGGGGAGTGCAAATCGGGGATTTGGCCCCCAAGGTCACCATCAGGGAGCTTCAGGGCCAAATGGGGGTGGATTTGAACCCTGCTCTCTCAGGTCCCAGCCTGGCTCTCTAACCACTACGCAGCGCTGCCTTGGTGGGTTAGAGCGGAGGGTGCCGGTAGCCGGAGGGGCTGCAGCGCTGTGGGGAGACCACGAGCAGGCCCTGGATCTGGAATAGGCGTGGGATCAGCGTCCCAACCTCAATGTTCCCCATCTGTAAAATGGGAACAACCAGGCGCCAGCCCAAAGCGACAGGATTCTTGCAGGGGAGGAGAACCATTCGATTTGGAGGAACTCTCTGGTGGAGAGAGCCGTTCTGACGGTCAAAAGGACCCTCTCCAAAGATGGCAGACTCTCCTTCCTTGGAGGCTTCCAAGCAGAGCTAGTTGACATTCCTGCCTCGCAGGGGGTTGGGCTAGATGACCGCCAGGGGTCCCTGACTACTCTTCCATCCTATGACCTTGGAACCTTTTTTGGAAGTTTTTAAGCAGAGGTTGGGTGGCTGTCTTTCGGGGATCCTTTAGTTCAGGGGTCAGCAAACTATTTCAGCTGGGGGCTGGTCCACTGTCCCTCAAACCTAGTGGGGGGCCGGACTATTGGGGGGGTGAACGAATTCCTTTGCCCCACAAATAACCCAGAGATGCATTTTAAATAAAAGGACACATTCTACTCATGTAAAAACATGCTGATTCCTGGACCGTCCGAGGGCCGGATTTAGAAGGCGATTGGGCCAGATCCGGCCCCCAGGCCTTAGTTTGCCTACCCCTGCCCCACAACTTCACCTTCTTACCACACAGCAAAGTCCTTGAGATGCAGCGTGGAGCAGTGGTGAGCGTGCCAGGCTAGGACTCGGGTTCAAATCCTACCCCCTGGGCCGCCGTGACGCTCACTGGGTGTGACCCGGGAGGCCAGCCGCTGCCTCTCAGACTAGCCTCCCTTGCCGGGTGGTTGTGGCAAGAACAATGCACATGCCGCCTTGAGGATATAAATGCAGCTAAATAATGATCACTGTGGGAGCCCAAATGCTGAAACTCCTTCCTGGGGAGAGTCTGGCATGCGGCGCATGATTCCTGGAAGGATTTCAGAATGTGGAGCGCAAGGAACACATGGTAGAAGCGGCTTTCGCCAGTGAGGAGACAGGAAGCCCAGCTCCCATGAACCTCAACATCCCAGCTCCTCAAGTGGCGCCAAGACACCTCTTCTCTGCCGCCATGTTTCCTGTGCACACTGCGCATCGGTGCGCCTGGGGCGATAAGGGGGGCAGCGCACGCAGCAGCCGGGAGGCGCCACCCTCGAGGCGCACCCTGCTTCCCCGAGGCGCAATGCTGCCTTTTCTCCCTTGCTTCGGGGTCCGTCCTCCATGCGCAATGCGCAACTCTCCCCGCCCACCCTCAAAAACCACCTTTGGCGCAACCCACAAGTCTCCAAGCGCTGCCACGGCGGTCGAGTCGGGGAGATTGGAGGCGCGGTGGTGCATTTACACCCGCACCCATTCAGCATGGCGTCAGACCTGGCCACAGCGAGGAACGCCTTAGTTGAGCAAAGCCTGGACTACTGCAATGCGCTGCTCCTGGGGCTGCCTTTGAAAAGTGCTTGGAAACCTCAGCTGACCCAAGTTGCTGCAGGCAGAATGCCCACTGGGGCTGGCTATAGGGCGCAGGTGCCACCCCCTTGCCAGAAGAGCACCGCTGGCTGCTGTTATAGATTTGGAAGGGACCCTAAGGGTCATCCAGACCAACCCCGTGCCAAACCGGAATCTTTCACCCCTATAAAGCTTGACACGGCTTAGGTCCAGGCTGTCTGAAAGGCCGTATTGCCTCCTGGATTTGGATACTTTTGGGGTGGTGGTCCTGCCTCCCTCGAAGACCCGGGTGGGTGGGTGGTTGGGGGGCACAAGGCAGGGCCTTCTCGGTGGTGGCTCCTCCAGAGAACTTTGGAACTCCCTGCCTAGAGAAGCCAGACTGGCTCCCACCTGGCTGTCCTTCCGCTGGCAGGGGAAGAACCAGAAAAATGATTCTCCAAAGAGAAACCAGGTTCTTGTAGAATTACGAGCACGGAAAGGGACACCTGTGGGTCATCTAGCCCAGCCCCTGCCATGCAGAAATTGCAGCCAAGGAATTCCTGATTAAGGAGATTCCGCCACCAAGAGGACTTTGGGGAGCTGACTGCTTTCAGGAAAGGCCGATAACATAACAATAGCCTGTCTGTTCTTAGCAGATCTAGTGTATATTCATGTATAATTCTTCTTTAATGATTGCTTCCCCCACAATGTTTTCAGCTGCAAGGTTCCCTGAGTCAGGGAGGAAATAAATCCAATAATAAGGAACGTGCCATTTTGGCCATGAGATTTACCGTCCTCATCAATCGTTTCACTTCTATACTGTTTTATATCTCGTTTACGACGCATCAAACCGGAATAAAACCAATTCAAGTTCCCAGAAAAAAATATTTCGGATCCTTCTCTAGGGGACATTTTGCTTTCCCCATATTTAGTTACCGACTTTTTATAGAGCTGCCCCATAGCGGGAGGAATCTAGGAAGGCAGTGGGGTGTAGTGGTTATCGAGTGTCGGGCTGGGACCTGGGAGATCTGGGTTCGAATCCCCACTCATTCGGGTGACCTTGGAGTCAGTCGCAGCCTCTTGGCCTACCTTGCAAGGTCTTTGTAAGGAAGACCTGGGGAAGGGGCCAGACTCCTGGGAGTAAATTTTAAAGAGCCGAACCTCAAAACAGTTTGCAAACACGTTAAAACATCAAATTAAACGCTGCACAATCAAATCAGTTTAAGCTGCAAGAAATGTATTTCCTGCTCAAAGTCACATTTTGCCACCAACCCAGCATCCAGAGATCTCCGTGTGTTCGCCATTGGACCCTTGCCAGTTGCAAACGCGCCTGGCGCCCGGCTAGTTTCTAACACTGCGTTTGCCGCAACGGAATGTCTCTTTGCCACGGGGTTGGACTAGATGACCCTCGGGTCCCTTCCGGGTCTCAACTCCATCGCTCGCTCTCACAACAATTCACTCGTCCCAGTTTGCAAGGAGGAGAAAGGCACAGGGCGGAAATGGACATGCTATTAACTCTGGACTAAGGCAGAGCTTTTTGAACTGGGGTCGCCAACCTGGTGCCCTGAAATCTCCACATTGACACAACTGGAGCCAAACCAGTAGCAAAATGCGGCTGGGTGGTTTCGAACCCGGTTTTATCCACCCTGAACCTTCCAGCATTGGATGGAGTGTTACAGGAGAGGAAGAAAATCTTTCCTCTGCCCCTTCCTCCCTCTCTAGGGCTTGGATTGCGGAGAACCAAAACAAGCACATTATTTTCCTGTCTCTTTCCTGCCGTTGAATTGCAAACGGCTTGGGGCAGAGACCTGCCCGACTTTGCCAAACTCCAAACACAGAGACAGAGAGGTGGAGTTGGCAGGTCAGGCCCCGGGGTCGTCGCAGGGCAGCGGGTTGGACTGGATGACCACTGGGGGTCCCTTTTGACTCCACAACCCCATAACCGGCAGCTGAGATTCCTGCATTGCAGAGGGTTGGAGTAGATGACCGCTGGGGTCCCTTCCAACGCTGTGATCCTGACCGTCAGACTGCACAGAAGCGCCCAAAGTTGGGGCACAAGATTTTGGGCACTGGGGACCAGAAAGAGGGTCTGGCCGAGATAGCCTTGATCTCCGGCCCCTGAGGTTCTGCCCAGGGGCAAATGCCCCCCATTTATGCCCTGGACTTGTCAGGTTGGGGGGTACACCCTCACCAGGGGCAGGGCACCCCAAATCTGGAGGAGGAGGAGGAGGGAGCGATGCCAAAAAGGGGAGCAAAAGATTCACCCCAGATCTTGCCCAGTTTCCCCATTTGGGGGGGAGGGCGATCCCAAGCTGCCCCCCAACTCTGCCCGGCACACCCACCATCGCAGCAGGCTCCCCCCTGACGCCTGCGCCCTCCCACCGCCGGGAAAGGCGCCCTAGGGTGCCCCCACCCAGCCCAAAGGGGTGCCCCCCAACCCTGGACCGTGGGGCGCAGGACGCACCCCTAGAAAGAGGGCGCTCCCCCACCCCCACCAGGAAGGGCGCCCCAGGGTGCCAAGGGGGCGCCCCCCCACCCACCCACGGCTGCTCCACCCCAAACCTCGACCCTGGGGGCGCAGAGGCGACCCTCCCCCCCGCCTTGGGGACCCAGGAGTCCGGGCAGGAGGCGCCTCGCCCACCTCCTCGCAGGGGACCCAGGCGTCCGGGAGAGGAGGAGGGGTCACTGACCTTCCCCGGGTGGCGGGGCTGGCGGGGGGTCGCGCGCCGGGTGGTCTCCCCTGGGCTGCCTTCTGTTTACAAGCCCCTCCGCTGCAACATGGCTGGGAGATCTCGCGAGAGGAGGGAGGAGGGCGGGGGGGGGAGGGAGCAGCTCCTCCTCCTCCTCCTCCTCGGACGCCTGGGTTCTCCAGGCGGAGGGAGGGAGGGAGAGGAGCGCACCCAGGAGCGCGCGCGCGCACCCTTCCTCTCTTTGCAAAAGAGCAGGGAGACGCAGAAGGGACCCTGCAGGAAAAGTCAAATTTCCTTGCTGTGTTCTTATTAGTGGCTTTGTGTAATTGTTCTAGTGCGCTTTGCTACGTATTTGCATTAAAACCTATTTTTTAAGTCAGCTTCCTTGCGTTATTATTGCAATGGTTGTTTTTTTCTTCTTCTACCGTATTTTGCTATATATTCACGGTATATTTTAAATGAAAAAACACTATTTTCCTCCACGCACGCAGTGAAATTGCAAGCAACTGGAGGGGAGGGGTGGGCTTTGAGAGTCACCCCCTTTTTATTTATTACTGCATTATTATTATTATTATTGCATTTATATTGAATCATTTTTCTCTCCAAGGTGCCTTGTGCTCCCTTCTCTCCCTGCCCCCATTTCATCATCATCATCATCATCATAATAATAATAATAATAATAATAATAATAATAATAATTTATTATTTATACCCCGCCCATCTGGCTGGGTTTCCCCAGCCACTCTGGGCGGCTTCCAACAGAACACTAAAATACAGTAACCTATTAAACATTAAAAGCTTCCCTAAACAGGGCTGCCTTCAGACGTCTTTCTAAAAGTTTGGTAGTTGTTGTTCTCTTTGCCATCTGGTGGGAGGGAGTTCCACAGGGCGGGCGCCCACAAACTACAACCCTGCGAGGTAGGTTGGACCCAGAGATCCAGTCCGTCTTTTCCCCCAAGGTCACCCCCCCCCAGGGAGCTTCCTGGCCAAGTGGGGGGGCGGATTCAAACCCTCATTCCTCAAGGACTCACCTGGGGTGGCCCCCAGTCGCTGCCTCTCAGCTGGACCTACCTCACAGGGCTGTTGTTATGGGGGTTAAATCCAGAGGGGGGGCATGCGCACCGCCCTGAGCTCCTTGGGGGGAAAGATGGGGCAGAGATGCTATAAATGTAGAAGGTTTTTTTTTAAGCAGAGCACCCGTCATGGATGCTTTAGCTGAGATTCCTGCATCGCAGCGGGTTGGGCTGGATGACCTCTGAGGGTCCCTTCCAGCCCTATGGTTCTATGATCAGCTGTTTGAAATGGGGGCCCAGGTACCAACAGTAGAAGAATGGCAGATGAAGATGCTGGACTTTTTGGAGCTGGCTGACCTGACTGGAAGAAAAGGAGTATCGAGAAGATTGGAAGAAATTTAAAGACTATTTAGCCCAATATTGTAATATAAGAAAATTAGAAGTCACTTGAAAATATCAAATAGGCTTAGGAATTAAATAAGAATGAATTGTTAAGTATTATGGATTTTGATCACCAATAAAAGACTAGAAGATAGTAAATTGAGAAATTCCAGAAAGAGGATATTACTAGCTGTTACAAGCTGATACAATTAAATTCAGTTAGTGGGGATTGGAGGAAGTCAGTTAACAATGGAAATTAAAATGAATTTTAGAAGGAATGTGTGTTTATATTATTGTTTCTTTTTTCTTTTATTTTCTTTTAGTATTGTAATGTGTTTTCTTTTGTATGTTTTAAATGTTATACTTGCTAAAATCAATAACAATTTTTGAAAAAAAATAATGAAATGGGGGCCCAGGACGCCTGGGTTTTCTTGGGGCTTGACTTGGGAGATGGAGAGCCTGGAGATGGCAGACCCAAAGGGGCCGCCTTGTTTCCCCCCCCCTCCCAGCTCCCTGGCTGTTGTCGTCCTGCCTTTGCTCTCCTCTCGCCAGGGGCGATCCCTCTGCCAAGGAATGCTGAGGGCGTTGGGCGGAGGAATCGCTGCCGGAACAGCAAGGCAGGAATGTGGTTGCGCCTGGAATGAAGGCCCTGACCAAAACAACGGAGTCTCCAGGCCAAGATCCTATACGGACGAGTGGCTTGCACATTGAACATCAGCCCGGCAAAAAGGCACATTGCATGCTGGGAAAGGAATTGTGCGAACCTGTGCAAATCCCTGGTGCAACCAGGAATTGTGCAAACCTGTGGCGCAACCAGGAATTGTGCAAACCTGTGCAAATCTGTGGCACAAGCAGGAATTGTGCAAACCTGTCCAAATCTCTGGCGCAATGAGGGATTGTGCAAACCTGTGGCACAACCAGGAATTGTGCAAACCTGTGCAAATCTGTGCCACAACCAGGAATTGTGCAAACCTGTCCAAATCTCTGGCGCAACCAGGGATTGTGCAAACCTGTCCAAATCTGTGGCACAACCAGGAATTGTGCAAATCTGTGCAAATCTCTGGCGCAACCAGGAATTGTGCAAACCTGTCCAAATCTGTGCCGCAACCAGGGATTGTGCAAACCTGTCCAAATCTGTGGCACAACCAGGGATTGTGCAAATATGTGGCACAACCAGGAATTGTGCAAACCTGTCCAAATCTCTGGCGCAACCAGGGATTGTGCAAACCTGTCCAAATCTCTGACGCAATGAGGGATTGTGCAAACCTGTGCAAGCCTGTGGCACAACCAGGAATTGTGCAAACCTGTGGCACAACCAGGTTGGGATGGTGTGTGTGGTTCTGGTTGCCTCGCCTCAGAACGGATATCGTAGCGGTGGGAGGCTTCTGGGGTTTTTTAGCTTAGAGAAAAGGAGAGTAACAGGAGACAGGATAGAAGTTTAATTAAAATGATGTGGAAAGTGGACAGAGAATATTTTTTTCTCCCTCTCTCTCTCATCACAGCCGAAGTCGTGGACGTCCCAGGAAGCTGGATGCTGGGGGATTTAGGACAGGTAAAAGGACCTACATTTTTGGAGTCCGGAAGCCTGAGCAGTTAGGGGTCCCCCTTTGCAACCGACGAGGTCCGGGAAACCACAGCCATCTTCTTCAATGGGCTTCTTCCACGACACATCGCCCCACCTTCGCCACGATTTTGGGACTCCACTTAAGTACTTTTGTGAACTCCTTGCTATTCCTCAAGGGTCTTGAACTCTGCGTGGTGGCGGTGGTGGTGGGGAAATACCATATTTTTTGGCCCATAAGACGCACCTAGTTTTTAGAGGAGGAAAACAAGAAGGAAAAAAAATTCTGAACGAACCCGTGGATCTATGATTTTTGTGGTTCATGCTGTGGCCACAGACGTGTGATCTGACGGTGAGTTTGGTGTAGCCCAATGCAAAAATCCTGAGGATCCGTGCTTTGTAACCACATTTTTGCGCCATTGCGGCCCCACAAAACAGTGGGTGTGTGGTTTTTTTGGTGCAGGCTGCAGCCATGGACATGCTATGTGACCTGATGGTGAATTTGGGGTGACCCAATGCAAAAATCCTGAGGATCCATGGGCTTTTACCTCCCCCTTCCCAGGCAGCCTCCTTTATCTCTAGTGTCCCTTATCTCCCTCCCGATCGCTTGCCGATCAGCGGCTTTGTTTCAACACCTACTTCTCTATTAAAAAAAAATAAAATCATGATTTGCTTTTTGCCCCTGGTCAATTCGGCTCCAGGGACCACGCATTCGCTCCGTAAGACGCACAGGCATTTCCCCTTACTCTTTAGGAAGAAAAAAGTGCATCTTATGGAGCGAAAAATACGGTACATTTGCTGAAACAGAACCACCAACTTACCACAACAAGCCCCCTTGACAACATCTGACTCTCAAACTGTGGGATCGCTGAAATATATGCAACAGAAGATTAATCTGTTGGAGTTGTGTGACTCAAATTGGGCTCTGCTAGACCCCAATTTTAAACAAAAACCAGTGTGAACTGAAGTCGCTTTAAGGGCCCTGAGGCTGAGGCTTCATTGGTTTCAAAGCAGTGCGGACTGCGGAACTCCCTGCCACAAGAGGCAGCGATGGCTACCAGGCTGGATGGCTTTAAAAGAGGATGGGGCAAATTTGTGGAGGAGGAAAGGGCTCTTGTCGTATATATTTCAACAGTCCCAAAGTTTGAGAGAATGTGGTAAAGATGGAGGGTAGTTCGTGGCTTCTCCATGCCTTCCGTGCGAGGTTGCTGGTCTTCTGCATGTGTGAACGCAGATCACATCTGTGTTTCCCTTTTAAAGTGGCTCCTTTTCCATTGGTGATGGAATCTACTTAATATCTAACACCAAGTAAACTGGCAAAAACGTGTAAATCTAAATCAAACAAATGTTGGAAATGTCAAGAGAAAGAAGGTTCTTTTTATCTTATGTGGTGGTCTTGTAGCAAGGTTTAAGCTTACTGGGAAATGATATATAATGAATCGGAAAAGATGTTAAAAATGAAGTTTGTAAAAAACAAACCAACCCAGAAGCCTTTCTCTTGGGAATTATAAGGACAGAACTAGCTAAACTGTATAGAAATTTATTTATGTCTGCGACTACAGCGGCAAGAATGTTATTTGCCAAAAAAAGGGAAAGAAGAAAAAGTCCCAGCAAAGGAAGAATGGACACAAAAACTTATGGGATATGCAGAAATGGCGAAACTTACCGGAAGAAAAATAAATCGAGATAACGAACTTTTTGTAACAGAATGGAAATGGTTTGTAGAATATTTACAGATAAATCGCAAACAGATAAAAACATTAGCGGGATGATTGCAATAACCTGCAGTTTCTTAAGAGTATATATTTACGGTAGATAATGAAACGAGCAAGTTAAATGCATTCGGATATGCAGAAGATATTAAAAAATAAATTTAAGGAACCACAGAAAGAGGGGGAAGGAAGTCAAGTTTTGAGATGTTTGATTGATTGCAAAACTCATGAAATGTATAAATTTTGAAAAGTATAAATAAAAAACAAAACAAAGCGGCTCTTTCGCCCACAAGTTCCCCGGAAGGGTGAGAGCAGAGACAAGCAGCCAGGTAGGAGGAACAGGTTGAAACCGATGGCTTGGCAAATTGCCGCCTGATTATTTTATATACAGGACGGCTGAGTTATTCCGTGGTTTGTTTCGTTTCGTTTGGGGCTTTCCCCAAACGAT